ACTTCATGTAGAGCTACCTAAAGAACAATATATCTTAATTTTACCTTATTTTATTATATCGTTGTAGAGCAATTGCGCAGAGCGTTGGGTTGGGTNGGGTGGGGCGTTCAGCTTACTGATGTTTCCAGCTTACTGATAGAACACGTTAGTAAAGCTTGTGCAATGCTGAGTAACTCGCTCTCGGAACGCATGCCCCACCAAATCGGAATGCAATGACGCTATGACGTTCTCGCTGGTACAGACACAAAGCCTTCCATGACAGCTATATATAGTCTGGGTAGGTCCTCAGGGTAAAACAGGAAACTTGATTCTATGTCACTTTGTGCCTTGCGATTCCCGCGAGTACCCATATACCAGCTTCGTAGTACGCCACGTTTGCGCCATCTTTTTTTCCCGACACAATACATACGATCTTTCTCCGCGTTAGATAAGCCTACAGCCATGGACAAAGCTCCCGGACAAGAGAGCAAGGGATCAATCACAGATTGGGTATGCCCCCTATACTCACGTGTAAAGAAGTGTGCCAGAAGAACACCCTCTCTAACTCTAAGCAAAGGTCAAGCCTGGCGATAAGAGCGGCGAGTTCAAGCGTCAAACCTCTGTCTTCCGAAATTGGATTGAGAATAAACCCAACGCCGAATTCCCACCAGAAAAAGGCCGATACCATCTTTACGTCTCGTACGCATGTCCATGGGCCCATCGCACACTGATTGTGCGCCAATTGAAGGGCCTCGAAGATATTATTTCGTACAATAGCGTCCACTGGCACATGGCAGAAAAGGGATGGCGGTTTGCGTCATCCGATGAAAGAATTCCAGGAAACACTACGCCGGATCCATTGCACCAAGATTACACACATCTCCGAGACATCTACTTTGAGCAGAACCCAGACTATGAGGGGCGGTTCACAGTACCGACGCTTTACGACAAGAAGACGAACAAGATAGTGAGCAATGAGTCAGCAGAGATCATCAGGATGATGTACACAGCCTTTGACGACATCATCGAAGAAAAGTACAAGAAGGTTGATTTGTTCCCCAAAGATCTACAAAAGGACATTGAGGAGATGAATGAGTGGGTGTACAATGATGTCAACAATGGTGTTTACAAATCAGGATTCGCAACGTGGGTTTCTCCATTTGCTTGTCACTGTCTTCTTGTCTTGTTGTAGAAAAAAAGACATATGCTAATCGTGAGGGCAGAACTGAAGAAGCATACACAAAGGCTGTCACTCAACTGTTCAAGTCTCTAGACCGACTAGAAGAGTCACTCTCACAGTCGAAGACCCCATATCTTTTGTCAGCACCACACGTTACAGAAGCGGACGTTCGTCTTTTCACGACCATCATCCGCTTCGACCCAGTCTACGTACAGCATTTCAAATGCAACATCCGTGACATCCGCTCCGGATACCCGCACATTCACAAATGGCTGAGACATTTATACTGGGTAAGACGACTCTGGATTAAATAATTTTTGCTGTCGTGGTTGTTGAACTCGATGCTAATGCTGCCAACAGGACTACCCTGCCTTCAAAGACACGACGAATTTTGAGCACATCAAGAAGCATTACACAAAGAGCCACGGTCAAATCAACAAGTTCCAGATCACGCCTATTGGGCCTCTGCCTGATATCCTCAACAAGGAAGACGAGGTGCCGAGTGTGAAGGCTGCATTAGCGAAGTAAGCAGATATACACATGTATAGGCATGCAGACAATTTTTAAAGTGTCATGGTAGTGTATGCCGGTAGTTGAGAGTGTTTATCAAGAGTGTGCAAATTATCGGGTTTCCTTGGGTATCTAGTTTTGTGAAATTTCCAGACTTTTGCAGCAAATACATGTCAAACGCGCCGACCTGGTGGCTAGTACCATTCCCATCAGTCTATACACAAAGGATTACCTGGTTTTTGTGGAGAATGAAACAAAGAAAATGCAGCCCAATGCAAATCTTGGTAATGCGCCAGGTTCAAAGCAGAGCAGCACCAACACTGCCTAGCGTCTGCTTAGTGACATCATCTCTGACCTGTCCCACTTTCTTTGCAGAGTCCAAGATGGCGCCTTCGATGGCCTTGAGTGCTTCAACCAACTCGCGTCGCTGGTCGCGTGGAGCACTTCGGCTGCCCGTCAACTGCTGGGCCTTTTCTACCGTGCCCGCCTCCATCGTGCGCAAATGGGCTTCAATCTCGCGGATTTGTCGCTGGTACACGTCGAGGGTGCGGCCAAGCTCGTCAGTTCGGCGGTCAAAATAGCTCATCAGATCCACGGGCTTTGTTGGATCATCGTCGTCGAGCGCACTAGTGGCTGGTGTCTTTGCACTCGAGGCCGTGAGATTACCGTTGTTGCGGTAATGAAATTGGGCGGGTAGTCGCTGATTTTCGATTGCGCGGAAGCTTAAAGTCGCATCTTCGGCGTCTTTCTTGACGAGGCTTTTCAGATGGGCAATGTTTGCCGAGTCGTTGTCGAGTCCCACTTCAACCGTGGAGAGAAAGGCCTCGATATAAGCTACATCAGGCGCGATGCTAGAGATGTCACGCTCATTGCCGGGGAGCGATTCGCGGATTTGGCTGCAGTAGTTGATCTTTCGCTGAACACCCTCGTCAAACTGCTGGATCAATGTTTGTAGCTCGGGGTGGAGGTCATTGAATCGTGTAGTTCCTCGTATTGAGTCGAGGGTCAACTGGACTGGTTGTGCGCTCGCGCCCATCTGCGCCCCCCCAAGTGTAGAGCCGCCAAGAGTGTTGGATCTGTTGGGGAAGTTCATGCCTCCACCCAAGGTGCTCTGTTGCTGTTGCTGGGGCTGCTGTTGTGTTGAGCCGAATAGTGAGGGGGTGGACGTTTGGTTCTGCTGGTTGGTGGTGTTGTTTCCAAACAAGGAGGGTGTGGTTGTCGGTTGAGTGGATGCGCCGCTGAGAGATCAGGTTAGCCTTTGAGCCACTGCAAAAGGCGGGGATGGCCTACAACAGCGAGGGCTTAGACTGTGCACCACCAAACAGACCGCTTGACTGAGTATTGCTCTGAGCCTGGTTCTGTGTATTTCCGCCCAGCGCGCCGCCAAACAGACCTCCGCTTTGGGGCTGTGACGGCTGCGCTGTAGACGCGCCAAAGAGTCCCGCACTTGCGGGCGCGGTGGTTGCAGGCTTGTTCAGATTGCCAAACAGCGAGCCGGACTGCTGGGGTTGCTGTGGTGTCTGCTGTGTGGATGCGTTGCTGCCACTGCTCCAGTTAGTCCAGGGCATGATATAGTAGTTTGATGGGAAGAGACTTACAAAAGGCCGCCGCCGCCACCGGTGTTGATGCTCAGTGAATTGGATCGTCCAAAGCCCGCCATGTCGTCTCAAGAAGGCCTGTTGTTGGTGCGGCGAGGGCAGGCGATGGATGGAGAAGGCAGTGTTTGGATGGGCGCGAGCAGGGGCAGCACAGACTCCACGGTGGTAAGGCGCGTCTCCTCCGCTCGGCTAGTCTACTGTAGTGTTAGTTGGCTGTGCTTTGAACGACAAGAAAGCCCCAGTGCGCTCTGCAATCGCACCCAGGTCAGTCTGGCGGCGACTACGAATCACGTGGACGCGCCTTTCCTTGCTTCAAATCCACTGCCACTCTCGACACGGCCGGGTAGGCGCGTATTGTCTGATCCAGAGGCGAGTATGGCAGACGAGTCCGACGATGACCTGTATGGGGACGAGACTGCGACGCAGCAGAGCAAGGACGCAAACAAAACCGAAGACAATTCAAGCGGCGACGAGCCCATGGATGAGGAGTCGGGCGACGACGACGACGATGAAGACGACAGCGATTCCGTATGTTGCTTGCGGCACTGCGCCCACAGCTGCCGAGCAAAGCTGACAGAGCTCTAGGACATCGACATCATCATTGAGAAGGCGCCAGCACCAGCCAAACCTGCTGCGTAAGATCCCACTTGGCTCCCCACCTCGTCTTTCCTGCTAACCAAAGCCACTGAATAGCTCACAACAGCCCCAAGAATCCAAAGCCATAAAGATTGAGGCGCCGCCGCCTTCGACTACACCCTCACAGCAACCCCCTCCAAAAACCGGGCCTGCAACAGGCGGCACCATCCCCCAGATATCTGCCTCTGCCCTCTCAGGTACCGCCTTTCCTGCCCAACGTACCTCGACAATCGACGTCAATGGGAATCCCATCTATCCACCTCAGGGAAAAGAGATTCTGTCTGTTGACATTGATGCCGACCTTGCAGAAGAGCACAAGATTTGGCGCCGGCCGGGCGAGGACCAGTCCGACTACTTCAACTACGGTTTCGACGAATTCACATGGGAGCTATACAGGCAGCGCCAGGTAGCCATGGCAAATACCATACAGGGCCAGAAGAACGATATGGCGCAGATGCAGGCCATGATGGGCGGTGGTCCTATGCCTGGCATGCCTGGCATGGGAGGCGCCCCACAGAGTAATGGAGGACCAGGCGGCGCGCCCCCGACTGGCCCTGGTGGTGGTGGAGGCGGTGGTGGTGGTGCTGGCGGCGGAGCTATGGGTCCTGGTGGGATGAATGAACAGCAAATGCAAATGATGATGCAAGAGATGATGGCACAGGGCATGGACCCGAGTCAAATGGACTTTGCGTCCTTCATGCAAATGGCTGGTCAGGGCATGGGAGGCTTCCCCACCGGACCTGGTGGGCAACAGGGCGGCGGATTCCAGCAAGGCCATCAAGGTGGTGGCGGGAGGGGTGGGCGAGGTGGGAGGGGAAGGGGCTGGTAACGGCAATCACGCAGTTCCATGTCCCTACTTGCCGGCAGCCGTCTTTTGTCTCGACTCCATGAGATCACCATCCTTGGCTTTGGCGTTCTGAGTGTACTACTACTGCTACTACGATACCATTGGGGTAAAGCCTTTTCCAGCGCGAAGCAATCTGTTTCAAGAATTACAGATCAGCCTACTTCCAAGTCATGCTTCAACGCCCTGTCTCGGCGACTTCACCCTAAACCATCCATATTATCCGGTAAATGATGTGCGACAATACACACTCATCGGCACGCGCCAAATCCCACAATTCACGGCCTTGGATACAAGACTCTGACTTCCCTATTGCGCCCCTTTGCGTGTGCAACTCATCGACAATTGCAGTCCAAAGGCCTTTTTGGCCATGTACCTCGTTCTCCATGCTTGTGCAGCCTCTTAGCCAAGTACCATCTACGTCTCCATTGGGTCTCCACCCTCAAGAATGTGCGCTGGAATCCGTCCTTCTGCAAAATCCTTCTCCAGCTGCGCCATCTCTGCCAGGCTGCTTGCGTTGAGAATAGCAGCGCGCATCCTCTTTCTTTCGTCGTCGGTGTAGATGCGTTCTTTGCTCGAGTCGGGCCCGTTTGCGAATGTAGGAACGACGAAACCTTTTGATTTGTTCCTCGAAATCTAGCCATATCAGTATGTAGCCCGTACTTGACATCATTCCAACACACCTGGTTCGCAAGTTCAGTCGGTTCGTCTGCACTTCCAAACAACTCCTGGGCCTTCCTCCGCTCAACATCGCGGACCTTAGTGAAGTCAAGGAACCTCACACTTGGGCAGCGCCAGATGATCCAATATCTGTAGTTCTACTGCGAGTCAGCGGTTGTATGCCCAAAGCACTTGGCGCTAGTGTGGGCACAGAAGCTGGGGAAGCATGAGTGCTGACGACTCACCTCTTTGCTAGTGACCGGGTTGCCCATAAGTGACAAGTATGTGAGAGACTTGAAGCCAGCCAAGGGATCGAGATCTGCCAGCTCTGCGATCCTGTTCTTGGTGAGAACTAGTGTGCGTAGGTTCGGTATGCTAGACGAGAGGCTTGGTTGGATGCTCGAAACTCGGTTTTGGGCGAGGAGCAGGGTGCGGAGGCGGGGCTGAAGAGGAAAGTTGCCAAGCTGACCAATGTCATTGTCGGTGAGGTCTATGGCGTCGTTGTCCTAGGTCAAATGTTGGCATCTTCTTCTCGAGCCGTTATACTAACAAACGCGAGGTCAACTTACTCGCGCTGCGCCCATGTTTTCAATAGCAGATATCTTGTGACCTAGATGTAATGATTTTGATATCAACTCAGCTCCTAAGTGCAGTATCTGTTCCTTTCAACGCACCTCGTAGATCGAGTTCACGCTCCGTGAGACAGTTGATGAAGGATAGAGAGTTGTTGATCAGGTCTGTTGTTAACCTCATTTTGGCGTTTTGTGACTGCGTGAACTAAGTGTACAGTATCAAGGATGTGTATGGATTCGGGTCCAGAGTGTCGAGTGCTGATTTGCGCGGGGCTGCGAAAGCTGGTCGCGGAAATGGAGCTCCAATTGAAATTCATGGACCGCGCTAAGAGCTGCCACTAGCGCGCGGCGCCCACCTGATAGAAGCAATCACCAAGTCCCCTCCATGTCCACTCCACTATAATCGACACGACAGCTAAATCAGGACTTACAACTCATGATCAGTACAGAATTTTGGGTGAAAAGTTTCATTATTCTGGTCAAGTGGTGGAATATTACACGTCTTCTCGTAATAACAAACGGCATTGCGGTTGAGGAGACCTATTTTTGAAGCACCAAGACTATTTCCAAAGCTGCAAGAGCGCCCATCACACCCACCACCAATACAGCTGCAGACAAAGGAGCCAGTGCTGGACGTGTCGTATTTTGTGACATGGCCTGAATCTCCATATCCAAGCGCTCAGCCAGCTTCTCCTTGGAGAATTCTGCTATGACCCTATCTCTCCCACGTGCGCCCATCTCTTTCAGCCTCTGTTCGCCAGGGCCATCTTCCAAAGCGACACGCATGACCTCTGTCCAATCCTGCACCTTCCTAACATCCCTCAACCAACCGGTCTGTCCGCTCACGACTGTTTCTGTTGGCCCACCCTCATTCGCTGCCAGGACCGGTGTTTCGGCCAGCATGGCTTCGAGTGGCACAATGCCAAAATGCTCATGGAGAGGTGTGTATATAAGGAGACGTGCAGTTGCCAGAAGCGTAGACTTGAAACTGCTGGGGACCGAGTGAAGAAAGACGACTGCGATGTCGTCTGGTATACTTTGGGCGGTAATGACGGTTTTGGCGGTGGCATGGGTCAGTCGAAGAGAGTCAGCCAGTTTGCACAATTCGGTATACGTGGCGACGTTCTCAGGCACTTGGGAATCGTATCCACCTGCAATGACCAGCCGCGCCTGCTCGCGCTCCATGGGCGACAGGCCTGCGAAAGCCCGGATGGCAAGTCCAACGTCCTTTTTCTTCTCAAAGCGGTTGATGCTCAGCAGAACCTTCTTTTCCTTCCACAGTGGCGCAACAAGATCCGCCGGCTGACCAGCATTGATATCGACACATGGGTATACGACGCTGGGCTCGCGGGTCTTAAGGCTGGGGAAAGCCTCGGCGAAAATGCTTTTTGTGAAGTGGCTATTGACGACAATGGTGTCGCTGCAACCAGTGGTCCAGCTCTCGAGCCAGTCAAAGGGCCTACGGTACAGTGTCTTCAGAAAGCCGCCCTTCTTGGCGAGCAGCTTGTCGGGGAAGTGGCAGTAGAAGATGATGCGCGGGTGTGGCAGCAGCAGCCGCAGCAGGGGAATTCCTGCGCTGAGCTGGTCGACGAAGAAGACGGACGGGGTGAGTTGCTGGAGCTTGTGGGACAGCAAGGCAATGTGCAAAATCAAGTGCACCTGGCGCAAGATGGCGCAGAGAATCGCGCAGCGACCCCAGATGGCTGAGGGGAAGATGGTGTTGCCGTGCACTCGCACATCGAGGGTTCCTTTGCTTCAGGGTCAGGTCTCAGCTGCTTGGCCGTACATGAGCGGAGTGTGGCCGACGGTTGTGTATGGAGGCTTACCATCGCGGGCCTCGTCGAAGCAGTGTTGCGGGTCGCAATGCGACGTGAAGATGGTGACCTTGTGGCCGCGGTTCTGCAGTCCGACGGCGGCGTCGATGACCAGCCGCTCAGCTCCGCCAATGCCTAGGTCTGGGTGGAAGAAGACAATGTGCTGCTTCTCCTCTGCCATGTTGCCGTGCGCATGTGTGCGTCGCTACTTACGTGGTGACTTGGGCGACTTGAGGGAGAAATGACCCGTCGGGGCGGCGGCGGTGGTGGTGGTGGCGCCTTTCCGCTTTGGTGGTAGTAGCAGTAGGAGTACCCAGGCCAGTGTCCCATGCTGCATATCATGTGCGACGCTCTTATCCGCCCTCTGCTGCTACAGCCCCGAGACAGATGTGCTCGTTCGCTCGCTCGCACTCCTCGATGTATTCTACTCGCTGGACTTCTCGCACACACAACTGCTGGTGAAGCGCCACTTCACCTCACCCGCGCCTTCCAGCATGCTGCCGGTGCCCAAGGCAACAGCAGCACATCCGTAGTAATAGTATAGTACTACTAGTACCATCATCACCCTCACCACCCTCACCAATAACCCCATCAACTCCACCACAACTCCAGACCACCCCCCATCATGGGGCAGGGATTCTCCTTGTCGACGCTCTCGGCAGGCTCGGCCAACATCGATGTACCGGAGCTTGCAGATCTACAGTATGAGAAGTCGTTGGGTGCAGCCCGATTCATGAAAGCCGTCAGGGCACGCCATAAGGACGGCCTTGTCGTGGCTCGAGTAGTCCCAAAACCATACGCTCACATCGACTTTCAAGACCACGTCAAACGGCTGCTCCGTGAGTCGTCTCCGCAACTACCCGTCCATGGCCAAGCAAACTAACAAGGGTTCAGATGAGCGCAAAGTGCTTGCCGATGTGCCAAATGCACTGGCATATCACCGTGTCATCGAGACTGCATCTTGTGGCTATCTGGTTCGCCAATACATCCATAGCTCTTTATACGATCGCCTAAGGTAACTTGTCTTCGAGCCATGACCTCCGCAGTTTGCTGACTCTTCCATGGCACACGACCTTTTTTAGAAGAAATTGAGAAGAAATGGCTCTCGTTCCAGCTTCTCTGCGCTGTAAGGGACTGTCATGCCAGAAACATCTTTCACGGCGACATCAAGACTGAAAACGTCCTGGTTACGTCTTGGAACTGGCTGTACCTCGCTGACTTTTCCTCGTCGTACAAACCAGCACATTTGCCAGAAGACAATCCAGCTGACTTCTCCTTCTACTTCGATCTCTCAGGTCGCCGGACTTGTTACCTGGCGCCCGAAAGATTCCTCGCTGCCGGACAGCAACCCGAGGGTGAAGGCGACGTCAACTGGGCCATGGACATTTTCAGCGTAGGCTGCGTCATTGCTGAACTGTTTCTTGAAGCACCCATATTCTCCCTCAGTCAGCTGTTCAAGTACCGACAAGGCGAATACAATCCTGAACACTCTCATCTCAGCAAGATCCAGGATCGGAACATACGCGAATTGACTCTGCACATGATTCAGATTGATCCTAATTCCAGGATGACTGCAGAGGATTACCTCACACACTGGAAAGGCAAGGTCTTTCCCACCTATTTCTATGGCTTCCTCCAACAATACATGTATTCCATTACCGATCCCTCTTCCGGCCGAAAACCTGTCACGACTGGCTCAGAACACCTTGGTGAGCCAGACGAGCGTATAGACAGGATTTTCAGTGACTACGACAAAATCTCTCATCTGCTGTCAAGTGAGGAAGGAAAAGAGCCAGGCAGGCCCGAGTACTCACCCCCTGGGCCAAATACGAGACTTTTCCCACTCTTCGTGAATATCCCAAACTATCAACATCAGGCTTCACCAGAACGAAGCTTAGCTGTTGATGATGGCAACTTGATTTTTCTGACTATTGTCGTATCTTGCTTACGGGGTACTGCAAGAGCCTCAGCTCGTGTTCGAGGCTTGGAACTTCTCCTGGCCTTTTCAGAGCGGTTGACGGACGAAGCCAAGCTTGACCGTGTCATACCCTACGTAGCTCAACTGTTAGCCGACAAGTCTGAGCAGGTCAAAATTGCTGCGCTGCGCTCTCTGACCCAGATTCTTGCCATGGTACAGGTCGTCTCACCCATCAATGCTTACATTTTCCCCGAATATGTCCTTCCAAGGCTGGAAGCATATCTCCCAGATTCTTTTGGGAAATCCGGCTCCCTTGTGCGTATGCAGTATGCACTGTGCATCGGGACTCTGGCAACAACTGCAGCAAAGTACCTTGACATGATCCAAGCACTACGTGCCGAAGGTTCTCTAGCTACGGCTGATCCAGAAACCGAAGATGGCATGTCTTCATCTACGACTCGTAACCAGTTCGATTCAGATCGCCGAATCTTAATTGAGGCTTTTGAGAAGCACACCAAATCCCTTCTCACCGACACTAATGCTTCTGTACGTCGAGCCATGCTTCGGTCCGTCTCCGATCTCTGTGTCTTTTTCGGTAGTCCCCGAGCAAATGACGTAGTCCTCAGTCACCTGAACACCTATTTGAATGATCCGGATTGGATGCTCAAGTGCGCATTTTTCGAAAGCATAGTAGGCGTTGCTGTCTTTGTTGGAGGCGCCAGCCTAGAAGGCTATATCCTACCTCTGATGGTCCAGGCATTGACAGATCCTGAAGAGTTTGTGATAGAGAAAGTCATCAGGTCGCTGTCTTCGATGGCAGAGCTTGGTCTACTTCAGCGCTCTAAGACATGGGAGTTAGTGGATATATTGGCAAGGCTGACCATGCATCCAAACCTCTGGATTCGAGAAGCAGCAGCTGAATTCATCTCTGCTGCTTCAAGATATTTGTCGGTGGCTGATACGCATAGCATATTGGTTAATCTCATCAGGCCCTACCTCAAAGTCCTTCCTGCAGAGTTCTCAGAATTGCGCATTCTAGAATCTTTGAAGAGTCCAATGTCCCGTCTGCTACTGGAGATGGCTTCTAACTGGGCACAACAAGCTCAGAGAGGGCACTTCTGGCTGGCTGCTAGACATCAGCAAACATTTACTTTCGGGTCATCGGATGATAGTCTTCCAACCGTTTCAGGTCGGGAGCTTGACCAGAAGGTTTTACAGCGATTACCCAAAAATGAGGAGGATGAGCTGTGGTTACAAAAGCTTCGCAACGCGGGAATGAATGCTGACGAGGAGTTCAAACTGGTAGCACTTAAAGAGTTCATTTGGCGAATAAGTCATCGCCGGCGCTCTGAAAATCTTTCAACGCCTACGACAAAGTTCAACAGCATCGTGACGCTGAAAGATCTTGGCGTGAAGGCGCAGACCGTGCTGTTCGATGAGGATGTACGTCAGGTTATGGAGCACACTAAGAAGACGTATGCTCCAGAAGAGCAGCTGCCACCTCGCACAATCAAGGACGCCCTTTTGGATGCATCGACTACAGAGGCCGATGGGCTAAATGACCGGATGCCGCGTTTCGAAAGTCAAGCTGGGCGATTGGTCCGCGAAGAGAGAGGTATCACGATTCCTTCTCGGTCAAGAACACACCCAAATCTAAGCGGTCAACATTCGCCATCTTCTGGATCTGAAATGCGAGCGAATTCACTAAAGGTTTCGAAAATATCCTCCTCACCCTCGGGTTCAGTCACATCTACAGATCCCTCGACCGGGCTTCGGCATCACAAAAGTGCATTAGGGCTTCTTGGAAAAGGAGAGAACAAGGCTGTAGCAGAAATTGGTACAACATCTGCGAACGTTCTCGGAAAGGTTGATGGCCTCCATGCACGCGAGTCCTCTCGATCCCGACAGCCGAAATCACCACTTGCAGTAGACAGACTTGACCGAAGTCCGCTACAGATACGTTTCCGAAACGCACACAACTACACAGGGAACGATCCGGCAATATTGAAGTTGTTGGATTCAATGCTTCTTGAGCGCTTCCCAGCTGATGAGATTGAGTTTGGTCCCCGGATACAGTCTCCCACTCAGCGGCAACCTATCAAACACAAGGATGCGCAACGATTACCTATAGGTACTCCATGGCGCCCAGAAGGTACATTGGTTGCAAGTTTTGGCGAGCACACTGCCGCAGTGACCCGCATATTGGTGTCGCCTGACCAAGGCTTTTTCATCAGTGGGTCTGATGATGGAACTGTGAAGATCTGGGACACCTCACGTCTCGAGCGCAATATTACTCGTAGATCTCGACAGACATACAGATTGGGAGAAGACGTCAAAGTCACGAGTCTTGTCTTCGTTGAGCAAACATATTCCTTTGTTGCGACGGGTAGTGATGGAAGTGTTCATGTGGTGCGCATAGACTATCTCCAAGACCAAGATGGCAACGCTAAATTTGGCCGACCACGATTGCTTCGCGAATACCAGTTGGTCAAGGGGGATTTCGCCGTCTGGTCGGAACACTACAATGGCGACGGCAGATCTATCCTGCTTTTGACTACCAATACGTCGAAGATTATTGCTCTCGACCTGCGGACTATGAACTTGCTCTACACTCTCCAGAATCCGCTGGACCACGGAACACCAACCTGCTTCTGCATCGACCGAAAAGCGCACTGGCTGCTGTTAGGAACATCGCACGGCGTGCTCGATCTGTGGGACCTTCGGTTCATGCTGCGTCTCAAGGCCTGGGTTTGCCGCGGTGCATCGCCTATTTACCGACTGTATCAAGTATATCTGCCAAAGACAAAAAAAACCAGACTATATATTGCTGGGGGAAGTGACCAAGCCGAAGTAACGGTTTGGGACTTTGAGAAGCATATTTGCAAAGAAGTATATCGTACTGGCTTATGCAAGGATGTCGGCAACAGGAGTATGACATTATTGGATCTTGACGAAGAGAGGTCAGGCGGAATGCTTGGACGCTTTGCTACAAGTGTTGAGCCTACCGCTAGTTCCACAGCAGATCGAGGCATCCGAGCGATTGCAGTACATACACAGACGACGGATGACAAGGGCGACCTGAAACACACATTTCTACTCACAGCCGGTCCAGACTGGAAAGTTCGGTATTGGGATACTAGTCGCGCTGACTGCTCACTTATAGTCAGCGGCCTTGAAGCTGATGAAGGAAAGCCGCAGTACGTTGTCTCCCAACCAAGCCCAGACACTGTCGTAGTCTCCGAGCGATTGCAGCAGACTATGACTCAGAACAGCAATGGAAGAGATAGTAAAGGGAACGCGTCCAGTAAGAAGGGACCCGGGAAACCATTGAGATCTAGTGCAATTGCTTCGCAGCAGCAACATCTTCTGAAAAGTCATATGGACTGTATTCTTGATGTGGCATTTATCGAACAACCATGTGGGATTATCATTTCAGCCGATCGGTCTGGGGTGATTCATATGTATACATAGCAACGTATCTGAGTATCAATACGCGTACTCTTCCCACCGTGGTGTGTTCAGTAGTGTGTAAGTGAAGGGCTAGAGGAGGGTAGTTGCAAGTTGTTGTGGTATTGTCTATAAACTGAGACTTGCTATAAAAATTTACAGGTCAACTCCAGACATACATTTGTCTACCAACATCTTTCCATTTAATTGACCTTGGCCTGAGACAAGCTGGTAATCTGATTAGCACCGTCCTGGATTTTGCCATTGGCCGCCTTGAAGCGGCACAGGACACCAGATCGCTCGGGAACGTTGTTGTCGCACACCAATTGGTTGTTTGCAACGCAGTTCAAGGCGCCATTGCCTAGTAGAAAACACGTTAGTATTGTCACAATGTTTAAACGAAGAAGGGCCGGCTATGGCTTTTGGTTACTTACATGCAGCTGGACCTCCAGGCACGCACTTGCCAGCGGCACCGTTGACAGTGCAAGCGTCCTGCTTCAAAGATTTGTTGGGGAAACAGCACGTGCCGTCAGGTGCCTGGCGAGTCTCAATGACGTTGCGGGGAGTGTTGCGGACGCCCTCGACATCGGTGATGGCGGCAGAGGAGATGGCGACGAGGCCAAAGAGAACGGCGGTGATGGAGAACTGCATCTTGGCGAAATGTGGTGTTTAGGGTGTGATTAATGGATTGGTGTTTTTGGAAAGTGTTGTAGAGAGAAAGTAATCCGCACAGCGGGAGAGAATAGACAAATGTAGAACTGAAGATTGACTTGGAAGACTGGCTTGAGAATCAGAAGGAGAAAGGAGTCTCTAGCCTCTTTATACTGTTCGAGGGCGGTAGCATTGACGATACTTAGCCATGTGTTGATATGCAGCTCTCAGGGCTGCTGTTCCTGAGGCAGTGCATCACGCACATCTCAAACGTTTGGCCCTGAGGGATCCACTGAATCGCGGAGCAACTCGCTCAAAACGATGCTTGTTGCGCGCGCATTATAGTTGCCAAGGCAAGTGTCGACAACTTTTGCCGGATGAGCGGCATTTCGTGTGCGATACTGAAGGGGATCTCTCCGTCTTGTATTTTGAGATTGATATTCTAAGTTTGTAGGTACATGCTACTACAACGTACGTGATAGACGCAAAACCCTATCGCTGTCCAATCTTGCATTGACAGCACGTGGGTGCAAGGCTTATCAAATCTTAATGGGCAAGCGAACCGCTGCATTGTTGCCCTGCATTTGTAACGCTTCCTACAAGCTCAAACATGAGCATCGACAATCCCTGAGACATAGGAATACCTGAGGATGAAACCAGGCCGATTTAGCCGGTCATGGCATGTAGCGCACAAGATTAGGCGCTGCTAGGCCCATTTCGCATCGCATGTCTCTGTAGTCCTTGTCCAACTCTCTGCTTATAGTAAGTTGAGACCTTTTATGGTGAATACTAGGTTTGCGTGGATGAAGAGATAGGATCTCTAATTGGCTCGAAGAATCTCTGCGCTCATTGGCCGTGCAGCTGTGCCAAGACGATGGAGATGTTCGTATTCAGATAGCGCCTAGTCACGTGACAAACACCATAATCTCCTCTGGATCCCCGAAAGCCCAACCAGCCAACCGAGCTGAAAGATCAGCCCTCTAAAGGCTCTGTAGGGGGAAACAATACACGCTCGTATAGCGTATCACGTTATGTATCTATCATGTTAGACTAGCAAAAAGAGAAACAGTAAGCTTATCTTACTTACTATGCTGAAATTTCATATAATTCTCTCAACGAACGGCTGTAAAGACAAACTTTCCAGAGACTTTTGAGATGGTGTCTCTTCTTGTCTATCTATACAGTTTCTCTTCACCTGTATGATGTTTATGTAACCTGAATAGTATTTTTAGAGATGTGTTTTGATAAATCGACGCAGTATACGCCACTATGTCATGCTCCCGTCGCAACGTGCTCCACTTAGACTACAGGCATCTTTCTTGTACATATGGATTGGGTGTTCGCTCCTGCAGTCGTTCAAGCCTCAAGGGTACTAGTGCATTGCGCAGTCGTATGTCTACGTGTTGATCCTGCTGTTATATTACTAGACACACATAGTGTATATATTTCGATGCTGATGTGCTTGATTCTGTGGTCAACTGTGCCTCGCAGCCACCATTGTGGGATCGGCGAAGACTTGGGTGTGTCAAGATTGTGTAAGTTCGGCATGAGGAACTTGCCAAGAGGCTTGGTCTACTGGTGCAAGAGATGACGGACGAGGAGGAGGATGAGATTTCAAATTCTTGTCGTGAGCGGCCAATGCGAAGCCATCATGTAAATACCAGCTTTGACAGCATAATTGCCGACAATGGTGTCGGAGAGAGAAAGAGAGAGTGTGTGTGTTGGGTGATGTGAGGGGTAAAAGAAGTCCCCAGTCGCATTACCTCATTGAGCAGCGCACTAAGCATGGCAATTATCTCGTACCGCCGCTGCTATAAGATTAAGTGATTTACATGCGCATTCGTGCATATCGAACTTGTAAGGAAGAATCATTCCCGAATCAAAGTTTTGCGGCGCGTTTTCGTCGTCCCGTATTGGTAGTGTGCGTTTTTTTTTCTTGGCCGCATTGACTGTAGTCAGAGAAGCCCAACGACTTGGCTCGGTTGTTCTGTTTGTTTCTCAAGCTGTGGAAGGATTCGGCTCAACTGCAGCAGAGGGGTGTCATGCCAAGCATAGTACCTTGTGTTATCCTTGGTGGATGCGGCGAGGATGGTCCCGTAGGCTTCCAGAATAGGATGTAGATTCGTCTTGTCGGCCAAGCCGAAATTCCCTCCGAATGCACCGACGAAGACGTCAGGCCCCTCATCGCAGAGCCTGCAGCTAGCTAGGTAATTTTCCCCGACTCCTTGTAGTAGTTCACAGATGGAGAGTAAGCAGTAGATGGACTACTAGATAGGGGTTAGCAGGATCAAGGGACCGGCTGAAGGGGCGGACGGCGGAGAAGCGGGGGGAGGGAAGATGCAGATGGTAAGTATGTCGGGGACCCAGTGGGTATTTTTGCAGGCTAGCAACACTCGGAGCACGACATGTTACCTAACGACAACAGGTGCCCCAGATTGAGCGTCTGGGGTCATTTTTATTTTACGTAACGGCAAGTCGTGTCCCCAGACTGACAAGGGCGGCATCGTCCGACTCTTTACATAACAGCAAAGCTGCCCCAGGTCGCAACCGCAGCACCGGGTCAGCCCAGGCGTCATGCATGCCTCGGCCATGCTTCGCCATGCTTCCAGAAGGCATACTACGTACGAGTAGTTGGCTGCGTAAATATAGTAGAAGGCTGTCCCTTGACGCATTAGGAAGGTAGTTGGGTGTGGAGAAGGCCTGTTCTCCACCTGCATTTCTCCCGAGCCCGAGTCATCCTCCCGGCGATACACCTACCCTCGCATCCAGCATACTACCTTACTACTATACACTCGGACGTTGGTCTCCATATTTCGCAATCTTCTCCGCGTCCAAGTACACCATGTGCACTGGGCACCCATCGTAATCAATTCCTAGATAACATGCGAGCACTCGACTCTCTTTGAATTGTTGCTGATTTCAGTCCCAGCATAGTAGCCCATGATCCTGAATTCCCCAACTACTACATCCTGAAGCGGACTTGTATACGTGCCAATGCGACTTGCCGTATCAACCAAACAATCCATGACTGTCATCAACACTCAATTGCACCATCTTCTCGCGACTCCAACCTCCTATATACGCACGACTTATCTTTGCTATATCTACGCGTACCCACGCATACTATCAATCTTGACACAATCCATCTGAAAATACAACAAGAATGACGTATTCGCCTTAATTGGCTATCTCACAAAGCATTGTTGAACGAGTCTGAACGGACCCTCGTCCCACAACGTCAGCCCAGAAATCCACAAAAGATAAGCGTCTATTTCACTTGGTCCGCAATGCTTGGTCCCTGTTCTGGTCCTGGCTCTCGTGGTTATCGTCGTAGTCGCTGTGTCGTCGTATCCAGCTGGTGGTGGGCGGCTGTGTGGTGAAGCTTGTCGACGCCACTTGGACATGGCATGCGATGCGCTCCTGGGCTCCCTCCCCCCCAGAGTGCTCTCGAACGCGCTCAACATGCAATGGTCGGGCGCTTGACAGTGGCGACATTGGACGATGCGAAAAAAATGGACTTGATTTACCGCGTTAGGCCTAGTCTGGCAAAACCTCGCTCTCCTAGTACCTGCACCAAATTTTTGCGGCTCAATGCGGCTCCAGACCCACTTGTCTCGGTGTTTCGCGGCCCCCGTCTGATTCGTCAGTCGTGACCATCCATCGCCAGTGTCCACCACCCCGAGGCGACTTACGTACCTGGGGAAACAACGCGCGCAGGCGCGCCGTGGGCGACCTCCACATCGTTCCTAGGTCTGTGCCAGCCGATGTCGGTCGGCCCGACGATTTCTGCATAAAGTGCGTACCGTCGTCCTTCGAGGCAATCCTCATCCTCGCGTGCCGTCTTTACTTGATACCCCGGATCACACATCACAACACCATGGGCCTCTTCAACGACAAGAAGGTCGACGACACCGAGTACGGTAGCCAGCTCAAGGCCGAGGAAACAAACCCCCAAGGTCAGACCGATGCCGTCTTTGGCGAAATCGTCGAGGGAGGACCCAACTACCGCAGCGTATGTTTCCATCTTATTGCCCTTCTTCCTCAATCCATACTGACGCCCAGTAGGTCAGCTGGTGGGGGTCGTCTATCATCATGATGAAGACACAAATTGGTCTCGGTGTGCTGTCCATCCCCGCCGCTTTCGATGCCCTGGGCCTCATTCCGGGTGTCATCTCACTGATTGCCATTGGCTTGATCACCCTGTGGTCTGGCTACATGGTCGGCACATTCAAGATGCGTCACCCCGAGACGTACGGCATCGAGGATGTGGGGCAGAAGTTGTTTGGGCGCGCAGGCCGAGAGGTGCTCGGTCTGGCTTTCGCTTTATGTGGGTCCTTACCTTATGGAAACATGGTTCTCCAGAACCCCAGAGTTGACCATGTGGACTGACGAGAACAGTGTGGACGTGCGTTGCTGGCTCCGGTATGCTGGGCATCTCCATCGGATTGAACTCACTATCTGATCATGGCACCTGCACTGCTGTCTTCGTCGCTGTGGCTTGCTTCGTCGGCTTTGCACTTGCTTCAATCAAGACCTTGGGAAAGCTCTCTTGGATTGCATGGGTTGGTCTTGCTGGTATCATGTCAGCTAGTGAGTATTTTTGCACTTGTGCATCAAAGAATCTGCCCTAACCACTACAGTCATCACCCTCACCGTTGCAGTCAGCCTCCAGGATCGCCCCTCTGCGGCACCTCAATTCGGCCCCTGGCAGTCTGATTTCGAGCTCTTCAAATCCCCCACCTTTGCCGAGGCTGCGGCTGCCCTATCCAGCATCGTCTTCGCCTTCTGTGGCATTCCCGCCTACTTCAACGTCGTGTCCGAGATGAAGGACCACAAGGACTACTTCAAGGCCCTGTCGCTTTGTCAGTTCGTCATGACCTCCATCTACATCGCCATCGGTGTTGTTGTGTACTACTACTGCGGATCGTACGTCGCGTCGCCTGCGCTGGGATCCGCTGGTGTCTTGATGAAGAAGGTCTGCTACGGGCTCGCGCTTCCGGGTCTGCTTGCCTCCGTCGTCCTTGTTACTCACGTAAGTTCCGTCATCTTGCTTCTCTTTGCTGTTTGCGGACCATGTACTGACCCTACATAGCTCGTCGCCAAGTACTTCTTCATCCGCACCTTGCGTGGAACAGAGCACCTCAGCCGCCCCACCGCTAAGCACTGGATCACCTGGTTCAGCTACACCGCCGCCGTCTCCCTGACTGCCTACATCATTGCATCCGCAATTCCAGTCTTTGGTGGTCTTGTCTCACTCGTCGGCGCACTTCTTGGCACCCTCATGAGCTTCCAGCCCATGGGCTGCATGTGGCTGTACGACAATTGGAATCGATCTAACCGCGACTGGAAGTGGAAGGGTATGGTCGCATGGTCCATCTTCGTCATTGTTTCTGGCACATTTCTCCTTATTGGTGGCACCTATGGTTCGCTTGTCGGCATCATCGACTCGTACAACAAGAACGGCGGTACCAAGCCTTGGTCGTGCGCGGATAACTCCAACTCGAGCGGCGGTCACTAAGAGTGGCTGTTGGTGAGAGCATCATCATGTGATGGTGCTCTGATCCTATTCTTTTAGCGTTACATGTACATGATTTGAATACGATATCCTACATTAGTCAACTATGTGCCGCATCATGAATATTGGAGTGCAGCGATGAGAGATTTATAATGGACAAGATTATGAAGAGAGAAAGATTAAATTACCGACTACTGGATGGTTCGTTTCTCAACTTGATTCTACCATTGAATGAAGGAAGCTGAGAGAGCAAGGCGCAATACCCAGGTAACGGACATGGATCAAATCCATGCTGATGAAGGTACTAAAGCCGTAGGTGCGGAGCAAGGAGAGCAAGAGGTTCGGGCTAGAAAATGATACCTCAGTCATCCCGTACGTTGCTCACAGCTTACCACTGTCCTACTTTGTTATGATATAGTAAGATGGCGTTGCAAGGGCGAGCTAACCAAAACAATTTTGCAATGAACAACTTCAAACAAGGTAGACAAAACTCATTCGCTTGTATTGATTTCCTTTGACGCTTGGAATCCATTCAACCCTATGTTACATCAACTCATCTAATACATAGTTATTTCAGTCATACTCAATGGCCAAACCAACGCGCAGCCGGCAGTCATCTAAGAACACCCCAGCAAAGAGTGATAGTTCACTGGACTTGGAGGCAATACTCCTTGCTCGCCCCATTAGAAGACCATCGTACAGCCGACATCTGTTCGAGAACACTTCGATTGGCAGTGACGCTAGCGTTATCGCCCTGGAAATCTCTACGCCTGGAAAAACAGGAAAGCGTACTCGCGGCCGGCCGTCGTTGAGGAAAACACCGGTCGGCAATCTACCTTGACTCTCCCTATGCTACTAAAGCGTCTACCGGACAACGTACAGATGCGTCGGTTTTGAAAAAAGGTCACCATCTCCCTCGCATAATGATACTGCTGCCAGGTCGAATCTGGACTTATACCTGCTCGATAGTCACGAAACGGCATTGTCGACCGTGGATAGCATGCGCAGTTATGACATACTGGGCATTGATAATATTGAGATGTCAGCACTTATCCAGGATGCCGCGCAAGACCTGCTCGAGGCGAGGATGAAGGAAATAAGCACCAAGGCCGAGGGGAAGAAGCCAGACGTGAATGTGCTTGGTACGGCCGAAGAGAGTGCTCAATTGTCGCCACCCATGTTGCCTACTATAGCAGATGCACCCTACGACTTGTGTCAGCGGACACGGGCGTTAGTACTTCGGCTGATAACCTCAGCCTTGATCACGGCCAGGCATCTCCCAGGTTTGACGAGCCACCGCTCGAATATATTTGGACCCCGGACCCTGTTTGCAACGACCCTACCGTGCCCATCCCATTTCTCACCACCTTGTAAGCTTAGAGATGCATAGTGTGCCGCCGCTCCTGCCCCCGTCCAAAGTGTACCCAGACTAGGACAAAAAGAAGGCGCAGTCAAACTGCAAATGTCCTTCCAAGTCCGAACAACGATGGACGGTTTAGCGACACGGCAGCAGAAGATATTGGGTTACGTACCACCTGGGATTGCAGCCATGCTGCAACGCAATGCAGATGACAATTGGGCCTCTACACACTGCCCATTCATCAACTCTGTCGACCTTGTTATTTCGCACATTTTGTTCATGGCAACATAACCCCAGTCCAATATGCAGAAGATGCTGCTCAACGTCCTTTTCTGCATCACATCGTATCACTACAATCCGAAAAAGTGGAATCAAGACTACCAGATCCTACTGGACGTAAATGATGCAGTAGACACCTCCCTGCGCGACGGCAGAAATACAAGGCACGGTATATTTGAGCAAGAGAAGCTTCCTCGCATGTCGAAGAAGAACTATGAGCTACTGTGAACAAGGTTCCATACACAGTATCCAGGCTTAAAATTACCAAAGAGAAGTTCATCGACATGATTAGGATGTCAAGAAAGCGAGAAAGGTAAGTGCTCCCCTATGTTCATCGCCTTCCTGCTTCGTGTAATCCTTCGCACTTGGCTTATGCTCGACCTGGTAGTTCCTACATTTTCATCGCACCTCGTCTCGAGCCTGGCTCCCTGCTTTACCTCCAGGCAAACCTCGCTCCTAAAGCAATGTGGTGCGCGGGAAAAGGCGGCGTTGCATCAGGAGTGTCTGATCGCGCATTGTGACACCTTGAGGACTTGGGTTTAGTAGACACCTGTCGGGCGAGTAGTGCAAATCGATGTGTTGGGGAGATCTTAAGCGAGTTGACAAAGGATTTCTAATGTCATGCGCTGGTTCTCCTAGTTCTGGTAGGCCTAGAAAATATATTCATTCAAAGATCTGTGTTTTGTCATACGAGTTTGATGATGACAATCAAAGACGTGAAGTACAACATATTTTAGCCAATGCTGTTGTAACAGAGTTAATGATGACTAGATATCAATTGATCTTCACTGCTCTTTTTGTTGCTCTGTACTTACTGAGGTATGCGGTTGGATCTTCAGATTACAGAGCGCTGTGCAGACCTAGGAAAAAAGAGACAATGTATTCATATCAGAACCTCCCTCTTGTTTATCTTGCTACCGTTTATCAGGTCTCTGATACCTTATAACTTCAGTCTTGTGCGTGCGGCAACTGCTGAGTAGATTTATGATGTGAAATCTAAGAATTGGCAAGGACAAGGTACTATCTAGTACTAACAAAAGAACGAGTAACTGCTAGAACGAAACTCGCAGGTAGTACCTACTAGCGATGTACCTATGCCTTTCTATATATTTCTATCATGAAAATACTTACAATGGTAGCTTCCAGTTCAAAGAAATAGCTTAGAACATAGCTACAGCTGCAGCCATCTCAAGCCAAGATGTCGGAACAAGACACTCAACCACACTACATGCGACCTACACTCTCCTCGACAGATAAGGCTAGGGGGGAGATATGATTCACACCATTTAAGAAACCAGGGCCTACGCACACGTTGTACAATGCGCCTACGCCTAAACAAGCCCAGAGGGCTTCATCACCTTTGCGCATTTCGAGCCCCCCTCCCCCGCTAGATGCGTCTCCGATCCTACCATCCTCGCCATCCTTTGTACGAGGCTCTAGCCATCAGCCTCAAGACAGCGCGCCACTGCCATCACGACAATTATCCTCGGTGCTCCCTCGTCCGTTATCACTAACGCCACCACAACCATCAGAAATTCCACCCTCTCGCCCAAACAAGAAGTCGAAGAAGGAGAAAAAGAAGAAGAAGGAAAGAGTACGAGAGAGATATGCGGGTACCTAGGCTAATACGAAGGTCTATTGCGCGTTGTGAATGTTGTGCGTCAAACTTGGGAAAGCAGTGGTATGGTAGGGACAGAAAGGCGGAGGAGAGGGTAAAGAGGGTAACGAGGGTAGGAGAGGACTTGGAACTAGGTCGCTTTGAGCGACGTCGTCGCAATTGATCTACTCTGGTACCTCTAATGTCTTACTTTGTGGTAACAGTATAATACTAATGATCACCTTTCACTCTTATCACACTCTCCGCTTATTAGGTGGGGATATTACTTGCAGTGCGTACTTCTTCAACCTTCACTAGGGTGACAACGTTTCCTAATACGTTTTACATACTCTGTCAGCAAACCAGGTCTAATGACGGTTGGGACGATGCTTAAGCGAGCTGCGGCTGTTTCGTCTCCATGCCTCTAGACGTGGTGAATTGAACGGTCACGTGACGGTTCATATTGAGGCTTAGCGCAGCGCCAAGCTCCCGAGGCGCCAGCGCCACCCAGCGCCAACCCCCAACCTCCTCAATTGCTCCCTTTGTCTTCGTCGCGTCTCCACCCCCATCTACGTCTCCATGACCTCGTCCTCTACCTCCATCCGCCAGATTCGATCCCCGCTGCCTTCCACGTCGCCCCAGTTCCATCTCCTACGCGATAGCAAGTTGTCTAGCGTCAGGCACTAAACCATCCTTTTCGTCTGCATGTCGTCTTGCCCCAGTACGCTATCTTCACCGCAAGACCTTATTACGCCGCGAATTAGCATCGCAATCTCTGCGTTCCTGATTCGCGCGTTTTAGGGGGCGATACTCAAGCAAGGCACAGGCTGTGCGAACAAGAAGGGCTTTAGGTGTCTGCGGTTTGGCGACTGCGAATAACACAATAGAGTCAGGGCTGCTCTTTGCTATTAATGCGAAAGCCCGGGCGGGTGGGCTTTATTTGCTGTTGCATATAATCTGCTTCGCTGCAAAAGGGCACATTTAGTTAAGTAAATTTGTTCTTTTGGGATAACTAACGCGCGATGGTGCATAGCCTCGTTCGTAAGGAAGGTGTCCCAGCCTTGGCGTATCAGGGATGCCATAAATCTATGACATGGTTTTGTTCACTGAAGATTGTGCATGTGGGCGAAGAGTTGGCTGTGTCACTCGAGCATTCAATGCCAAGTCATGGCGTTGACCACAAGCAAGTGTTTATCCTTCGCTATGAAGGTGACAATCTTGTGCCTGGGAAGAACTCGCTTGGAGCTATTGGACTGTCTGTCCCGGCTAGTTTAATGTCCACGATGCAACGGCATGGAAACCCTAATTTTCAAACGTTATCGCTGACGCTGAAAAAACCGTGTTCCATATGGTACCCTAAAGAATCTACCAGTCTTCATGATGATTTTCCAAAACTTTTAACTCTGGCACGAACGAAAGAAGTACGAATTTTTTTCGACACCAATTGGCTTGCGGATAGAAACTTTCAAACCCTACAGTGCATTGTCACAGGCTCTCGGCAGTTGGCCAAGATTTCGCGTACCGCACAGTTTAGCTCTGTGTATCAGGAACTTGACTGGTTACCCCTCAAGTTTATCCAGGATGCCAATCATGGCACCGACACTGCCACCGAAAACCCGGCGTCTGGGGTTATACCTTCCATCGAGGCTGAAGCACCTCCCTTCCAGGACGTGGTACATGACAACCCGCCTCCATACACACAGCCGTCGGGTAAACGACCAAGACACTGTAAGTGTCTTAGTTGTATACTGGAATGACATATCGCTA